ACGTGGTTAGAAGCGCCCACAAAACTCCTTTTAAACAGAGTGAAAGAGTTGCGAGGTATGGTTGGCAAAAAAGCGAGTTTGAAAAGCAAAAAGCATATGTGGGTCACCATAAGCAATGACCTTTGCGAGCAGGGGTACATGTATACCGCGCAACAAGTGGAAATAAAATTTTATACCCTGGAGAGGCAATATAAGCAAACGAAATTAAATAACTCAAAATCTGGAAGGGCAAGACAGATCTGTCCTTTTGAGCAGTAAATATTTTAATAAAATGTTGATTATGATGTGAAATAGTTAATGATTTTCTTCCATCTTTCTATTTAAAAAGTGAACTGGACGAGCTTTTAAGGGAAAGAAAATAAATTTTTCCTGAGGCGGTGTTGGACAGTGAAACTCAAAAATTTCCTGATGTCAGCGATCCCGAAAAATATCTCGAACAGTCACCAGCTGCGTCGGGTAACTATTACTCTGTACAGCACTCGGGTGGGTATTGGACCAAACCAATTTTTTTAAGAGATTTAGTCATAGGTAAAAAAGTAATTTCTCAGTTTTTCGAAGTTAGCCTCCGAAATCGAGATAATGGCCTTCGAAGTTCGAAATAGGACCTTTGGTAAAAAATTATATTTAATTATTCTGATATGCATACCAAAAAATTACTAATTAGTAATACATTGAATACCATATTTAAATAGAACAAATAATTATAACGATACCAACCTTTTAAAAATTGGTTAGTAATTTTTTTGTTTAACTTTTTTTGGCTAACTTCGAAAAACGGAGAAATTGCTTTTTAACCTAAGACTCAATCTCTTAAAAAAAATTGGTTTGGTCCAATACCCAGAAAAAATGTTGATTTTGACGTACAGTGTTATTGATTTATATCGAACGTATTCCGTGTATGATTTTTCATAATTTTCAGCAGATGATATGGATTTCACCCCATCCACTTCGAAAAAAAGGAAACCTAATTCTCCCGCAACTCCACCCGCCACAGGTATTCCAAATATGCATAATATTTATGTGAACAAAGTATTATTACTCTTGTGCACAAGTACGCTCGGATACAAAAACAGTATAACATGTTTACACATACGTTCCTACCTTTTTTATTCAAAAATGTATTTTTCTTTATATAGACGTCCCCGGCATTGGGCCATCAACATCTAAAAGAAGGAAGTCAGCACTTCAAAAGTATTTAGAAGAAAAAAAAAGTCGGATGAAAAGTTAAGAAAGTTGCTTGAAGAAAACATGAAAAGTAAGGCAGAAAGAGCAGAAGAGAAAGCTAGGATGGAGAGGGAGAAACTAGATTTACTAAAGTCAATGGTGGAAATATTAAAGAAATGACTAGTTTTGCAGTATGTGTTAAAAATATGCTTTAAAATTATGTTATGTTCACTAACACCTTTTTTTTAATTTCAGACACCTCTACGAAAATTAAGCCATTTTAATCTGGAAATGAAGTACAAATGTTGTTTTATTATTAAATTTTTATTTGGATTTCATAATCACACTTTTTGTTAATTTTTTTCAATCAAACAGAGCCTTGCATGCTGCGGTATATTTTTGAAATACATGAATTGCTTAAACTTAGTAGTATGTTTTCAATGAAATGTGTGGTTTTAACAAAATGCCATAAAATTAATCACACAAACAAACAACTGCGGTTCTATGTATTACGACGAAGTTCTATCTCTTGGCATATAGGATCTCGCACATGATTCCCCCTTGAAATGTCGCCATGAGCGGTGAAGTCATCAGTAACATCTGGAGATGTGTCGCAAATAAAATCCAAATCATCTTCGTTAGCTATATTGTGCAAAACGCAACAGGCTCGAATGAAGTGGCAAGGTTTTTCCATTCCTCTGAGCTTACAGTAATATAACTGACGGAATCTTTGTTTCAACATGCCAAGCGAGTGTTCTATAGCGATACGTCCAGAGCTCAGATTTAAATTAAAGTATTTTTGGGCATTTGTTAAATGCCCATTATCTCTGTAGGGCGTTACTAAATATTTCTTGCAGGGATATGCAGAATCACCCAAAAGGTATTAATCTAAAATAAAAATGCTGTTCTTATTCAAATAAGATTTTTTCATGTTTTGATTAATTTTACTTACCTCCACAATACGACGGCAACTTATCATAAATAGTGGAGTTTTGTAAAACCCAACTGTCGTGACTAGAACCAGGATATCCCACGAAAATGTTTATAAACTTCTTCTTTTCATTACATATCGCTTGCAGACAGATAGACGTAATTCCCTTCCTATTTATGTAATCGTCTTTTGATCTCTTTGGTGGGTCAATTTGGATGTGGTTCCATCAGTGCAACCTATAATCATATGATAGGTTATATAACAATAACTATGAATAGGAAGCCAAGGACCTCTTGCATGGATTACCTATTGCCTTAGAAAAGTAGCATTTACGGTTGAAAAATTCGCTTGATTCTAGTTTTTGCTGTTGAGTAGGCCATTTTATAACATCTGAACTCAATGAGCTAATGAACATAGTAACTCTGGCAATTATTTTACATACTGATGACAGGCATAGATTAAAACGATCCCCTAAGTCTCTATAGCTGCAGGCTTCATGTCCAGCAAACCATAAAAACACGAGCAAATGAGTTTTTTCTGAAAGCCTTTTGTCAGCCCTTAAATTGTTGTAAAAGTCCGAAACAGAAAATCTTTGGCTAAGGCTTTCAAATAAGTTTCTGGAAATGCGGAAATGCATTCGAAACTATTTTTCCGTGTAACTCGGCACTGTCAACTCTATATAATTCAACACACAATTTCGTGGATTTTTTTCTTGTAGAAACAATCCAATATCATCTGATCTTAGTTCTTCTACGATCATACGTTCTTCCTCATCTTCGCTTTCCGATGAGGACGACTCCATTAACATCGAAACTACAGTGGCAATCATCCGCTTTCTTGTCGTTTCTACGTAATAAGTATGTACATACATATGTATGTTTAATGATAAAAATTACTTACAAAGGATAAATAAAGACAAAATGCACTATTACCTTCGCAATTCACAATTTGCTCCTCACAAGTGGTAATTGCGGCTGAAGATGCACTACTATTCTCGCGTATATATAGATTCTGGGCCTCTTCCTAATATATTTATGTACACAGTGAACTTTATAAACTTGTATATGTAATAAATATTTGTATATATTTACTTATTATTTTTTTTTTGATTATTTAACATTATGAAAGGTATTTTTTTTAAATGAGGAAAAAAATTTTTAATACAAGTTGAATTTAATAATTTAATGTTCATCAGACCCCCTCGCTAGGGCAGGCACCTTTCGTTGGTGCGGGGGCTTAGCTGAATCAACATTCAGTCCTTCCCTGGTCTGGGGCAACGCAGCCGCTCTTGCAGCTTCTGCGCTGCTCTCTTTTCAGGTTTAAGCTTAGTATCCAGCTCTTAAGAAAAGCAAAAACTCCATATAAAATGACGTACAAGAAATGGCTAAGAAATTTTCTTGAGTCAAATTTCCTTAAGGCAGTACGCAGTTCTTCAGAAATTTAGTACGCTTTCTACTACGGTTTTCTAAAGTTTTTTGTGAAAAAAGAGCACAAGGCAACCCAGGTTTGCAACAGAAATATATGCCCGTTCCATTATTTCTTGAGGAAAGAGTGAGGCAACAGGCTGTGAGGTATAAAAAATGTCAAAATTCCTTGGACACACGCGAAATAATGGCAATTTTTTCTTGACCGTTTTCTTAAGAGCTGGATACTAAGCTTTAGGGCTGCTGGCGAACAGCGACCAAGAACTGCCACCTCCTAATCCAGGGTGTTAAGCGACACCGTGCCTATTGGACGGTTTGCAGCCAGGAGGGTATAAACCGGCTGTATTTTAACGGCGCCTCTTCTACACCGGGCCGCATCGGGGAGCAACGGTGGCCTTACCGCGACAAGGAGCGCTGGCGCGGCGGACCTGTTGAGATCCCCTAATATATTTTTGACTGCTGAGCTCGCCTCGACGAGCAGGCGGTCGTACGAAAAAGATGATTAAAAAACAACAACAAAAAATGAACAAACAACAACAACAAAAGCACAGTACAACAACAGCAACAAATACTGCGGTAGCTTCAACAACAGCAGCAGTAGACACGGTCACATCAGGCACTCAGGCGGTTTTGGTGTCAAGTGGTACCTTCGCTACCTGAAGCAGGGGAAGACCGCAGAGCAAGCTCGGGTCATGGCAGGAGTTCGGGTGGAGGTTGAGAAAGAGGAGCGTGAGCGCGAGGATCGCAAGCGCAAAGGCGACAAGGCCGCACCCGCCAGTGGGCGGAAGAGCGACGCACTCAAAGAGGTACATAAACCCGCGCCTGCTGAAAAGCAGAGCAGCGGGACGCAGAAGTACAAGCATAGACCCGCGCCCGCTGAATAGCGGAGAAGCGGGGAACGGCAGAACCAGCATAGACCCGCGCCTGCTGAAAAGCAGAGAAGTGGGGAAACAGCAGCAACACAGACCCGCGCCCGCCGTTTGGCGGAGAAGCGGGGAACAAACAGGTACCAATACAGGAGAAGCAACAGCACCAAAGCGCAGCAGCAACCAGATTACGCCACCGGAGTTGCCTTCCAGTAAGCGTCAGCGAGGGCAAGCACCCCCTCTGGGATCATGGCCCAGGAGCCAGGGCGGAACTGCCGGCCAGGGACAGGCGCGGGAGGCAGCCACTCAGCAGCCCAGCTACTCGGAGGCCCTTAAGGGTATCCGCGTAGCAGAGCTGCCTTGTGACTACCCTGCTGCTGCCCTGAGCTCGGAGGACCTAACGAAGCTCCAGGATGCCATCATGGAGGAGGTCTTTAAAGGGTGGTCGCATCCGCTGGCGTTCTGTGGGGTATACTTCCGCTCGGGTATGCTCCTGGTTGATTGCAAAGAGGAGCGAACAGCAACCTGGCTAACCCAGAAAGCACCCTGCTCAGGCGGTTGGAATGGGCCCGCGTTGTGCACCAAAAGGGGTGATGACATCCCGCCAGTGCACAACATCACGGTCTTCCTCCCGAGGAGCGCTGATAAATCAGCCGAGTACGCGCTGACGTTACTCCAGGCCCAGAATGAGGGCATCCATACCTCCGCGTGGAAGGTGATCTCCTGCAGCTCCGAGGACAACGGGCTCAGGCTCAATCTGGGCATTGACGAGGAGTCCTACGTCAGCATCAAGAAGGCTGGCTTCAACGTGAACTACAGGTTTAGCTTTGTCACGGTAAGACCTTGGCGACATAAGAAGACAGGCAGCAAGGAGTCAAAGTCGCAAGACATGCAAGTCGACGCGGCTGCTGACTCCGCCGCTGCCCAAGCGACTGAGTCGACCGAGGTCTTACCGGCTAACCTGGCACCGAACCAGACCAAGGCACCAGCCCTGATTAAGGCACCAGTTCCTGCTAGCGCCTCCGGGTCAGGCGACTCCACCAGCCAGGCCGCGTATGTGCCTACCACCCAGGAACTGCTAGCAGACATCAGCAGGCTTGAGCTCGACAGGCGTAGCGAAGGCGATTTGCGGCTCTCGGATCTGGACGAGCCCAAGCTATGATCACACCGCAATTGACAGTAGCCCAGGTCAACCTGCACCACGCGGTGGCTGCCTCGGCGGTCATTGCGAGCAGGTTTGCCACGGAGGACCTGGGCATTGTACTGATCCAAGAGCCGTGGACCTGCAGAGGCCAGGTCAGGGGCCTAAATCACAACTGTAATAAGGTAATTTGCGACCCCTCTAGTGAGAGGCCCAGAGCGTGTGTAGTGTTGAAGAAAGATATTGACTATTTCTGCATTACAGAGTTTTTAACACAGGATTTGGTAGCAGTTCAGACGACGCTGTCAATACACGGCAGAAGCACGGAGGTCGTCTTTGCTGCAGCCTATTTCGCGGGGAACAACGTCACCGTTCCACGCCTGGAGGTACAGCAGCTGGTGGAATTCTGTCGGAGGAAAAGGATTCCGATCATCCTAGGCTGCGATGCGAACGCCCACAATGTGGAGTGGGACAGCATGGACACCAACCGTAGGGGTGAGTGCCTTCTAGAATACATTATTAGTGAAGACCTGTGCATACACAATGTCGGTCATAGTCCAACATTTGTTACTAGGGTTAGAGAGGAAGTACTTGACGTCACTCTCAGTAACGGATTGGCCAGCCCTTTGATCAGCCAGTGGCGGGTCTCACCAGATCCCTCCCTGTCTGATCACAGGATTATCCGATTTTTACTGGGAGCGGAGGTCATGACAGCTTGTATAAAGAGGAACCCCAGGAAAACCGACTGGGCCAAGTACAATGAGCTACTCAGGACTAACCTGCCTAGCCTGAGGGTAAAATATGGAAAGGTCGACTGTATAGAGGTGGAAAACAAAATAAATGAGCTGAATGGCTCCATACTGGATGCCTTTAACTCTAGCTGTCCCGTGTCTAAGCCAAAGGGGAGGTCTCAGCCTACTTGGTGGTCACGGGAGCTCTCAGTACTCAGGAAGGAGGTGCGCAGACTCTTCAATCGAGCCAAGCGCCCGGGGAACTGGGACGAGTATTCAGCCACCTTAACAACATACAGTAAGGCGATTAGAAAAGCCAAGCGTAGCAGCTTCAGGTCCTTCTGTGAGACCATTTCATCTACCCCTGCGGCTGCTAGATTGCACAAAGCCTTGGCGAAGGAGAGTACAGGAACCAGGCTAGCCATTAGGCTACCAGGCGGCACTTATTCAGGTAACGAAAAGGAAAGAACACTCGCCCTGCTATCTGCCCACTTCCCTGATGCCATTCCACCAACCCGAGATGCGGTGTTCCACGCAGTCAGGCCATCCCCATCAGACTGGAAGCTGGCTAAATGCCTAATAACCCGGAGATCAGTACGATGGGCGTTGGATTCTTTTGAAAGGTACAAAGCCCCCGGGGTGGATAGCATCAGTCCAGTGCTGTTGAAGCAGGGTGAGGAGCTCCTACTTCCACACCTTGTCGACATAATGAGCTACAGTCTAGCGCTGGCCCACATTCCCGAGGTGTGGCAAAGGGCGCGGGTTATCTTTATCCCGAAAATAGGTAAGAGGGATTATTCCCTAACTAAGTCATTCAGGCCGATAAGTCGCACCTCCTTTATGTTAAAGGCAATGGAGAAGGTTATCGACAATGAAATTAGGTCTAACACTCTGAAAGAGGCACCTCTGCATCCAGACCAGCATGCGTACAGAGTGGGCAGATCCCCGGACACTGCTCTGTATGCGCTGACCACAGATATACAGAGTGCCCTGAAGTGTGGAGATAGGGCACTTGAGAAACGCAATGTGCAGCCAACCATACGCAAATGGATAGCCAGGCTACTACATACCAGGATTGCTGAAACTGAAGTAGGTGACAGCGTAGTACAACTTAGAACAACAAAAGGTTGCCCGCAGGGAGGGGTACTATCACCTCTCCTGTGGAGTTTAGTGGTGGACGAACTCCTGCAGACACTCACTGACAATGGCATCCGCTGCCAAGGGTACGCGGATGACATAGTGATCATTGCTAGGGGGAAGTTCGCGAGTACCCTCTGCGACATAGTGCAAAGAGGTCTTAATCTGGCAAGGAGGTGGTGAGGGTGGTTGAGGTGGGACTTAATATTAACCCTTCTAAGACAGCCATTATTCCATTTACCAGGAAAAGAGCCCTAGAGGGGAGGAGGAACGTAGCCATGGATGGGGTCGCGGTCAATGTCGTCACAGAGGTTAAGTATCTGGGTGTTATCCTGGACTCGAAAGTTCTGTGGAGGACTCATGTGGAGGCGGTCACTTCCAAGGCTACGAGATCGCTGATGGTGTGCAAACGTCTAGCAGGGAAGACCTGGGGGTGCACCCCAAGGATCCTAAGATGGATGTACACCATGATTGTACGACCAACAGTAACTTATGGAGCGGTGGCTTGGGTATCCAGGACTACTCTGGCAACGGCAAGACAGTCTCTTGCCAAGATTCAACGTCTGGCCTGTGTTTGCATCACCGGAGCTATGCGCACATGTCCGACGGCAGCGCTGGAGCCACTGCATATTACGATTGAACAGGTGGCGAAACGTACGTAAAGTGCTATCATCCAGGAACAGGGAAAAGCTAGGCTCCCAGTTGCCATTAGTGCTGTTTCCTAGGG